AAAAAAAAACCTCTACTCTATACGATTTTTATTATCTTCGCCTACTTTATAATGTCTTCCCTTTCTTTCCATTACTTTTACTTAGTCCTTTCTGAGACTCTCACCCACGTGAAATTGGCTTTACGAGTAGCTTACGGCAATTATACGGTAAACAACGATTAAGAAATGCTATTTAACCTCCTCATTCAGTGTTTCTTCCTGCAACATTTTTTATGCCAATTAGAAACTATTTTCGGCAGAAGAAAAGTAAATACCATGCATAGAAGCGTCGTCATGTCACCAAGCGAAGCAGCAATTGGTGTTGTGATGTTATCTGGATTCACATTTATCCTCATTGATATCAGAACCACTGCTACCATAAACAGTCCCAAAATAAGCGATGTTACTGAGGCAGTTGATACTGATGTTAGACATAGCAATAAATAATTCCCTGTATTGAACTGTAAAAAAAAGTAAAAAAATGATACAAATAGCGAGGAAGAGAGAAGATAGGAAATAGTATCAAAATATACCAAAAAACAGAGAACTTTCAAATTTATTTGTAAGGATAAGAAGCGTACACCAGTGTAGAAAAGCTCAAATTTTTAAAACATTAACGTTTGCTTATATACCAAATTTAAAACCATAGCAAGGTATCATTACGTTTTCTGTTTTCATCCCTTCATAAAAGACCGTAAAGACAGCAGCGGAAATGGAAATAAGTATAGCCTGTGCTTGAACAAGCGATAAATTACTGCAAGTTTGTCGCATTTGATCCTTTCGTGTATTCATCCTTCCTAAGTTAGCCTGTAACTTTGCACAAAAATAAATGCCTTCGTACACAATGGTTCAGTGTTTGTATGTGTTAGACACACTTACAAAGAAGTATTTTTTTTCTTTGATTTTATACCTGTGTTGACAATCTAGAGCCCAGTGTCATCTCTAAGTTCCCTTTTAAACCAAGCAACGCCGGTACTAAGACCACTGCTTCCGGTAAGCTACGAAAAAAATCCCATGATTGTGCTAAATCAAACAATATTCCTGCACCAACCATACCAAAACCGGCAAACAAAAACGGGAACAATGTCTGTAAATTTATCTTCCATTTTTTTATGCTTCAGTCATTATTGAATTAAT